TTAATTTTCACTTCAAGCCAAATATCGCGTCGTATCTCTCTCATTTCATCGCTAGTTCATTTTTTAGCGTTATACGACAGTGCAAATTTTATATCCTTCATAAAGACCTTAAACTACTGAGTTTGTCTTTTATACAGTAGATATCTGATCGCCGTAAGTAATTTATTTGTCTTTCCAAACTTAAAATGCACGCAATCGGTTTTTCTTCTTTCCTTTCCTTTCCTTCTTTTCGTTAGTTTGTTAATTAATTTCTCTTTTTTTTTTTACTGTAAGTTATCTATATTTAAGGAACGCTACTTCTACTAGTTATAAATCAATATTTTTATCTTGTCAAATTCATATTCATGATAATCAGTTTTATTATCATCAGCTAGCTACTTTTTTTCGCTTGCTTGCAGTCGATTTTTGTCTTGCTGTTTTGTTTTGTTATGCCACTTTATATATCCAACCAAGCATGGTTTATAAAYCAACACTTTTATTCAGAAAATTAGGTTAAATTAACTCTGTAAGAAATACTTAATTTATATTGATTTTTTCTCGCTTGTTTGTACTCAATTCGCGTTACATCTTTCATTGMACTGARYGTTTTTYCGCGCKTCTTCTCGCGTAGCATTTTAACAACAGTTTCGCATTTTTGTTTTCAGAATAAATCTACGACGATTGATGAAGTGAAAGATCACAAAATATCCCTTCTAGACTCGATCAACGAGAAGATATKAATAAAATATGAGATTTAGGAATGGATATGGATAAATAGACACTTCTTTTCCATTCGGAGCTTTATAGCATTCGAGACAGCTGCGTTTGCTAGACCACAGCGAAAAATGAATACATTAGTGTAGGGATTAGAGCGAAAATCAAAACTTTTCCTTATAAATATACATAYATACATACACAAGAAAACATTTTTCACGCACACCAGAAAATACTTCAAAAATATTCAAACTAGATRTTTCAATATTGAGAAAATCGATTGTAAGTTGTAACATTTTATAGCTTGAAATATATTGGAGTGAAAAATATTTTGGATCTGATTCCACATGCAAATGTGAGCAGGATTCGTTTTTTACAAGCAAATCCAGAATAATAACATGCTAAATAACTATACTTTAAGCGAAAATATTTGAATTTATAGGAATTTATTTCAAGCGCAAATAAAGTGGTAATCTGGGGGAAAATATACAGAATATTTTGCGCTGCATTCCAAAATTTACTCGCAATCTGAATAGCATATATAGTCTTACTTAATCCCACGACGTTTTGATTTTATAATCGCAATAGTATTTGTGAAACATATAAACAGTATTTCATGGAGAACAATGATACAATTTCTCGCTAAGAAATCGCCAAATCATTTAAGTGAAACTCACTTAGCCGATTTGAACGCTTCGGTGGAAATCATACAACGAGACTTTWAAAAAWWAAWGRWYCTTTTCAACAGAAAAAGCKTTTGTCAAAGCTAACCTGTTCTTCTTCAAACAGTTCTTTCACATTAGGGTTTCCTACTGTAGTTGAAGTATTTCTAGATACATCGCTGGCACTTGAAGTCGCTTGGTTTGTCTTCCGCTCGTCCGAGTTCAACCCAAAACGCTCCCAATCGACAGCCTTTCCTTTCTCGCTATTCGCCATCACAGTCTCTTAAACTCGCTATATCATGCACTGTGCGTTAAAGCGCGACAGAAATATCTTTTCCATGGGAAAAATCCCGTGGAATTTAAAAGATCGTGCTGAATTATTTGATGAAGAAGAAGAATGAYCAGAAATGTTGCTCAGATTGTCAGTGATGTTCGTTTACGCATGGGCGGTTTGAATTGTTCTTTAGCCAATCAACGTTACTAGTGACAACCGCGTACAAAAGGCTGAAACTCACGCTATGAAAACACAGCTTCGAGTTTCAGACTCTTTTGTTTTCGATGAACGCGAATGTAAAATGGTTATTAATTAGTCTGATGTACGTGAATTGTTTCACCTTGAAAGCCGGCAGATAATGATGTTTTATAGCTATTTATTGAAAGCCTGGTAAGTGTTGCGTTATGTCGAATTCAGTTGCCCGCCAGTTATAATTTTGGCGCGCAAATAAAGGTCAATATCACGAGATATTTGATTTCAGAAGAGTTTAATATAAGTCACTGTGTGTTACACGAAAGTGAAATACAGTGAAAATGATTGATTGAATATAATGCTAAAAAAGACAATCATATTTTAATCCGTATTATTGTCAAGACAAAAGATATTAATTTAAAAAATCTTACAGTCAGCAGACCATAAAATGAACACTGAAATATACATGATTACTTTTGAAATTAATCTAATGTCTCTGCTTCGAAATACAATAAAGCTGATCACTGCTTCCATACAGTACATTTTAAAGTTCACGTATCRATATTTTGTGCGTTTAAGTATGTGTATTGACGTTGTATGATTTCAATCGCTTGACAATATGGTTACATCACCGTGCCCACCTACTACTGTTTTGGTGGTCCACGTTGTGCGATCAGGCAACTAGTTGTATAAGTAARACTGTGAAATGGCAAACGTAACACCAAACCCCAACCCCTAACCGTAATAGTGGGCACAACACAGCTCCTTGCAAGGCGTTCCGRGACTCTGGATTCCGGATCTAGTGCTGAGATTCTGGATTCTTTTTCTGTTATTCTAGTCAATGTAATTTTAATAATTGATTCCGGATTCCAATTTTCGTGTTTTTTGTTTGCTTGTTTTTGAGGGGGAAAGGGATTCTGATTCTAGTCATTAAAATGTCACATTTCTTGGATATGGATTATCCAGTATTATCCTACACTCGGGTGAGGCGATCGATCAAATAATTCCCGTTTTTGGGTTACCTGTGGTGACTGTTTTATTTTTGGTTGTTATAGAGCCTCGAGTAGACATTTGTATTTTTTTTTTGGTTTCAGTCAATGGCCGTCACATACCAGTCTCCTCTCGCAGCCGTTAGGACGTTCGTTCCCAGGTCAGGAGTGACCTGGCAAGGAACCTCCTAACAGCTGCGAGAGACTAGTCACATACAAGAAATATATTGTAGGTGTCACCAAACATCAGACATCATGACTGACAACGTGTCACTCAATGTAACTCCCTGAATACTTCCCATAATGCAAATCAACGCACCGTGCGCATCAAAACGAGGTAGGGCTCAGAGTATAGTTTTGTGCAAGCTTAGCTTCAATCAAGCATGAATTTTTATTGTCTTCTTTTACACAGAGTTTTTGCATTACAAAAGGATCTCTGTAGCCTCCTTCGCAGGCTACTCCATCGGAAACGGACATTTTTCTCTTCTTGGTCTTCCTGTGTTTATAATCTTGACGGAGAAGAACTGGTAGCCCCCTACCCCACCGGCACCTTTTTTTGCCTTTACACAGGAATCCCACGGAGTAGAGTTGTCTGCGAAGGAGACTAGGATCTCTGCTGAATAAAAGAATATATTGCATGCTTTCGAGAAGGCTGCACAAATAAAATCTCAAAACTGGAGTATTGCTGAGTTGCACACGAAGACTAGTGTGAGCTCAGTACATTCCATAACATTTTTTCAAAAAGCTTTCAAAGACATGCTATGAATGCTACAAACATAATAATACTTTCTTAGTATTACCATACAAGTGGACTATTGCAAATCCTTCGTTCTGATTGGCTACGCTACTCGGGGTCTATTTTCAATAGTCCTTGACTAGCGAAAAGCGACAACTTTTTGCGTATTTGTAGCAATTAAAACATTGAGTTATTTATTTTTTGTCCAACTAGTATGGGGTCGAATGTAATAATAGGACTGATTCAACACTAGTTTAAAAAAAAACAAAAAAAAGCACTTGAAAGGTTTTATTTTGTTTTTTGTTATTGTTGTTTGTTTTTTGTGTTTTTGTCTTTTAATGTAAAGTGTTTTTTTTAGGAAAGACCATAGATAATATATACTTATTTTTTT